TATATATATATATATATATATATGATTTTGCCCCGCCAGCGGGGGTGTGGGGCTCAAGAGGTTTGTGGGGGAAAAGGTGAAATTGAAGTTGCAGTCTCACTGAGTTCTGAGTGATTGTCATCAAGTCTGGTTCTTCTTTTGAAAATCACATGTTGTTTATAGTTTTGATGACTTGTGAATCTACAATTTTCATAGTCATGAAAATAAAGAAAACTCTTTGAATGAGAAGGTGTGTCCAAACCTTTGGTCTGTACTGTATGTGGTGATATAATAATGAAAATGAATGGTAACTATCCACTGATACACTGCATTATGCATTATACCTATTATCTATCATAGCTGCAGTGCTTTTTATGACTTCTGGTAGTCACATATGAGAATAAATCCAACACTAGAATATTTTTTCTGTGGAAAAATTGTTCCCTCAGCAAAAAAATGGGTTAGTATTTAGTAAAATTATAATATATTGTAGTTGAGTTTTAGAAAACAATATTTTTTAAGCACGATCAATTTTTTTGTACACTACTGTACCTTCCAGTTCATCATCCTTTATAACTATGTCATACTTTCCTTCAATTTGTATGACTGTTTGTATGAAAAAGAGCAAAGAATTGTTTAATAAGGTGTCCTGTTTCCAGTGTGTTGTAATTACCTTCGTCTGTACCGTGCAGTCTCTCGCTCTCTGCAGCATCGATGGCTGTCACTTGGTCTGACTTGCGTGACGGTCGGCTGATTCCTGCTTTGTTCACAGCTCTCACTCGGAAGTGATAGGAGCGTCCCAGGCTGAGGCCATGCACTGGGTATTTACAGACCTTCACTGGGGAGTCGTTGCACTGGACCCAGGTGTCAGAACCAGCTTCACAGCTTTGCAACAGAGCAGGAGAAATACTGAGCAGGTAAGATTTCAAAATACACCACCATTTTCATTGTTTGAGTTATAATTATAATGAGTTATAATATATGCTTCTTTTATTATTGTTTAGTATAAGTCACAGCCAGTGGTGTCACTAGGCCTAATTTAGGGGGGCTGGAGCACCCCTAAATTATTTTGGTGTAAAAAAAAGATTTCTACTCACTACATTTTTTAAAAAAGTAAGAAGTAGAAAGTTGTTACTCCTATTTTATTCTGAGTTATTACTTAAAAAATACTATCCTTTGAGGTACTTTAAACAACACAGTTTATTGTATTTACATTTTGACATGACAATGATTAACTTGGTTTTGTAATCTAGATTACTTATTCTGGACAGTTCCTGTTTTACTTGCTTGTTTTTGCTGAACCTCTGCTTTAGAAAAGTTTTAAAACATAAAAAATTATTATAATCAGTTGGGTATTGGTGATTTTGATGCTGTTGCAACCTCAACACTATAACATTTTAGACAACTTTTGCAAATTTTGTCCAACTCGCTGCTGTAAGATGCAGTTAGGTGTAACTTTTGAATATGCTGTCAGCACAATGGCCAGACAATAATTTTGGACATGCTCAAAATTTTCAGCATAAGTTATACAGTAGGTATGCTACAGATAATTATGCATCAGTTCAAAGTCAGTTTGCCTTATGATTATTTTATACAGGTAAACAATGCAAACAAAATCAACAGAATCAATGTAAAAAAAAAACTATCATCGCATGAATCTAGCGTTTAGCTTAGCATATTTGCTTGGTGAAAATAAAAATACTAATTTCATGTTGGGATGATGGCTGTATCTTGAGTCCCCGTTATAAGTACTATAGCACAATGTTTTGTGCTCCTCCCGGTAGAGTTTGATGCTATTTTCTCAAACTTATTTAAGTTTAACCACAGCTAGAATGGCACAGCTCCAATCAAATCAATGAAGCTGGAATGAGAGTTTGTACATGCATCAGTAGCTGTGTTTCCATTACAAATGTGCGCAAAACTTTATTGATATTCTGTTAATGTCTAAAAATACAGTTTCGCAACTGCGGTGTTTCCGTTAAGTAAGAAATGCTAATAAAGTCACGTGAATACGTTTGTTCTCATGATAAGTCATTACAAACATGGCAGCGATGGATGTAAACACATAGCATGTTGCTACCACGACACTAGCGCTCATCATCAGAGGAGACGTCGGCGTCTTTTATCGAGGCTTTCCAGAGACAAGTCCNCACTAGCGCTCATCATCAGAGGAGACGTCGGCGTCTTTTATCGAGGCTTTCCAGAGACAAGTCCCTACTTGGGAGCGGCTACGTATGCTGTGTTTTTGGGAAATTGTAGTCACTGAGTTTACTATTTTATACTACTTCTGTGATATTACTACTACTTCTACTTCCTGTTATCTTCTTCATCATCGTCTTTTTCACCAGTAGAAACAGACGGTTGTTGATCACGTGACTCCTGTGATGTGAAAAAACTTTTCCATTGATGTTTTGTGAAAAACACCAATTTCTATACGGCCGAAATACCACCTCATCCTAGAGCAAAAACATTTTGTCGAAAAACGTAATTTTTTTCGAAACTGACGTGTTTCCATTGAGCTAATTTATTTTCGAAATTCTAATTTGCACATTTTCATGGTGAATGGAAACACAGCTAGTGTCAAATGGACAGAGTCACTTTAATAATGTTCTAAAAACAGCCTGAGTGAAGGTCCCTGTACAATAGAACATTGTTTAGAATCTTCTAATCCTGTATCAGGTTTAAATTAGCAGATATTTATGATAAACTTTAAATCTGACACTTTGACAGAAGGAATATCAGGTTGTGGTGCAAAAAATGCAAACCAAAACCACACCTTTACTTTAATCTTGGTAATAACCTACAAAGATACGTTTTACTGTTAATATTTGTTTAATTCCCATGAAAAAAGCAACATTCATGTTTAAGGTAGGTAGGGATAGTTTACTAATGGGTTTTATATCTGTTCAAGTTGTTAGCAACACGTTATGATCACATCCAAAAGAAGGTGCTAACTGATGCTTTTTTCTCTTCTTCAGTGTGAGCCAGTGTGTTGGACAAAATTGGCAGATATTGGCTTAAGTTGTCCAAAACGTCATAGTATGACAGAGCCTTCAAGCACTCCTTTGACATGAGGTGTTATTCCAATGCATCATTTTAGTGTGACATATCTAGTCTATTTAAAGAGAGTCTGGAGAGTTTCAAGGTGATGACTGACCGATCCACAAAGTATCCAGTGATCGGTGCCTCATTGACGGTGTTAGGGGGTTTCCAGGCCACCAAGACGTACTCTGAGTTAATGTCAAAGGCCTTGACATTTATTGGTGCACCAGGGGCTCCGGCTACAGGAGGAGCAGCATCTAGGGAGCAAAGAAATTAGGACTTACTTACTGTTTATTACTGTTAAACATTTACCGAATTAACACAATCATACTACGTTATTAGAGTAGACATTTGTGAGTTATATCAAAAACTGGATACATTTAGTAAAAAAAAGAAAACAAAGTTTCCATCTCGCTGAAAGCAACAAATATCTTCAAGTATCTAAAGTTAGAGTTCTCAACACACAATGCAGATTTTGTCCTACCTGAAACAAAGAGATATGCGCTATGCTCAGTGGTGCCATCTTTTGTGAAGATACGAAGGGTGTAGAGGCCTTCATCGTCCTTGGCCAGGTGAGGCAGAATCAGACACGCTGCACCTCCATTCACTGACATCTCTACTAGCTTACTTGGTTTCAGAAGTTTATCTTTTAAAAGGCAAATGGATAAAACAGCAGAGTGAACAAATATAAGTTAACCAAAAATAGGTCTGATGAAGCGATAGGACAGTTCAAACAAACTAGTGATAAAAAATAACAAGTGCTGAGAGTGTGAACTCTCAAACTCTAGAGAATTACAGATAAATGAAAGGATGTCTAACCATCTCGGTACCACTGGGCAAGGGGTGGTATATTGGGGAGATCTGGAACAACCACCATAGTACACACTAGTTTGATGGAATTGCCTTCCACTCCAAAACTAACTGGGAACCTCTCGAGCAGGGTGACCTCAAGCTTACTGGGATGGATCTCTGTCAGATGTGGCACTGGACAGAGAAACAAAAGTTGAAACATCATCAGCAAAAAGATTATTGATTTTTTTGTTTTGTTTTGTAATCTATGTACTGTATGTTTCATTACATTGCAGAAAAGGATCAAATGCACAATTCAAAATTTCAAGAAACATTACAAATTCTGTAATTTCCATGATTCACAAACACACTTTCTCATTTTATGGAATTTATGTTGTCTTGATATTTGTTAAATTTTACATATTGAGAAGTAAATATGTTAAATAAAAAAATATTTATTATTAACAACAAAAATAACACACAGTACCAAAAATTGGCACCGCTGAGTACTGGTACCAATTCCCAGGTACCAGATATTGGTACTGAATAGATTCAAATTTCAAAGGTACCCATCCCTAGCTGAGTTGTCATCTGTACTCTGTCGTTACAATTATTCTCACATTATCTCAAAAGGCTCTTTGTTTATTATTTATTGTTGGAGCTTATTTCTTTGCATTATTGTATTTTGTTCATTGATTTTATTGTTTTTATTGTGTTTACTGTATTGTGATTTTATTATCACCTCTGTAAGGTGACCTTGGGAGTTTTGAAAGGTTCCTATGAATAAAATGCATTATTATTCTTCAAATAATTCTTCAAATTGTTGATGATGAAACAAAATCTTGTGTTTTTGTCATGACCCATTGATGGCCCCTTGACTGTAGGTGGTGGCTGGGCCGTATACAAACCAATAAATTGAGAGCTTTACCTTTTGAATCAACTCTTCTTCATTACAACAAACCAACGAAATACCCATATTACTATGGATGAGGCTATAATCTGTTGTTCCAACCCCTGCTCTATCTTACCATTGCTTGCAAACAAGACTCACAGATACCTGCACTCCTTCATCTGAGACACAACTAATTCCTGAACTGGAGGAAACATTCTACCAATTTCCAGTTTAGAACCATGACCTTGGAGGAGCTGATTCGTATTACAGCTGCTTCACTGTTGACTGCAAACCATCCCAGTGCACACTGAAAGGTCATGGCTTAAAGATCAAAAAGCAAACAAAACCACATGGTCAAAAGCAGAGATGAGACCCTGAGGTTCCCAATTAGACCTCTCCTCTCCCAGGATTGTGCCTCAAGGTTTATGAACACCACAAACAGGAGCAGAGACAAGAGAGCCTTGGTACAGTCCAACCTTCACCAAGACCAACCTCAAATTTGTTCCAAGGATGTGGAAACAGGTCTAGTTTAAGTTATACAGGGGCGGCTGTGGCAGAGTGGTTAGGGGAGTCGTCCTGGAACCGAAAAGTCACCAGTCCAATGCCCTGTCCAGCTGTCTCAGTTGTTGCGTGTTTGGGCAAGACACTTCACCCCAATGCCTCTGATGTGTGTCCCATCAGTGTATGAAAGTGATTGGCACTGATTAGTCTCCATAGATGATTGTACATGGAGATCTGGTAGAGTGCTGTGTGAATGGGTAAATGAGGACACCGATTGTAGTGTGAAGAGCTTTGAGTGTGCTGGTTAGGTAGAAAGGAGCAACACAGTCCATTTACCAAATATCCCTTAAAAGTAACACTGGCACCTCATGCCCTGGCAGCCCCTGCCAAAAAATGCCTCAGAGAACACAGTCTTAAACTTTCTCCAAATCTACAAACTCAACTCTACAAAAGGATAAAGATCTGGTCCACTGTTTCTTAATCAGGTTGAAAGCCACCCTTCCAACACCCAGTAGTAAACTTTTTCAGGGAGGCTGAATAAGTGTGAACCCTTGATGGTTGGAACACAAACACTGGTCTCCTTTTTAAAAATAGGAACCATCATCCTGGTCTGCCACTTCAGACGTGTTGGGACAGTCTGTGATATCTCTTCAATCGGTTTGCCACAACCTCCTTGAGATATCAAGTATATTTATGGACCAGCCTTTGTTCAAACATGGTGTTTGTTGTGGACAGCCCATGCCTATAACTAACATCATGTTTGACTTCTGTGCACCTACTAGCACAAAAGTCCAATTACAGAACATCACTCAAGGCCCTGTCACACTATGATATTTTAGACAACTTATGTCAACTTATGTAAATTTAGTCTGACATGCTGCTGTAAGTTGCACAAGTTAGGTTTAAGTTTTAAATATGTTCTCAGAACATGCTGCTGATCAATAGGGCATAAGTGACAGGTTCTGCTGCAGATAATTTATGAATCAATGTCCTGATGCATCTCAGTAATCCAGGTAGAAAAAAAATAAAAATAAAAAATCAGTAGGTCTCTGGATGGTTCTTCTTTAGTGAAACGTTTCATCTCTCCTCCAAGAGACTTCTTCAGTCTGATGAGTTTCAGGTGAACTCAGCCTTATAAGCTCCGCCTCCACCTGGACAAACAGGTTAGTCACGTGCAAAAGAGGGTCATCGCCTAACAATAGGCTTGATTAGCTCTATTGTTCATAGAAGGTCATGTGACCATCACCTGACCCGTGTCGTGTTATGTGAATGTAGTTAATGCAAGCGGGGCTCAAAGTCCCCTTGTTTTTGTCCCTCTCTCCGTCTTTGTGTTGGTATCATTGGGGCCCTGATTCACACCTTTTGCTCACAGTGGGCGGAGTCATACTTACAATAACAGTGTTGTAGGAGGAGGACAACTGGACATGAAGGCCTCCACCTCTGTTTAATGGTGGACGGTTTTTCTTCACAAAGATGGAAGAACTTTACTCCTCTGAAACCAACGTTCCTCTATCAAGGATGAAAACATCTTCAACCCTGAAAGAGTGACCGCTGACCTGTAGATGAGTGTCAACTGTAGAGTCCTGACCTGTAGATGAGTGTAAACTG